GCCCCATCCACACCTTGTCAGCTGCCCTCGTGAGAGCTGCTGGCTCCCGGCGGGTCCACTTACTGCTAATAAGTGACACCAACTGGAGTTGAAGTGTTTCACGAAGCTGTTGAACTTCTATGCTGGCATCTACTAGGATGTTATTTTCTTTTTTACAGAGAAATTTCCAACTTTTATCTCACCAAAAAAGATGGTATTAAACTGCTTCTTGCTTTAATTAAAACATGATACAGAAAGCCATATTGACAAAAGACTGACATTTGGACGTTGTCCTTGATTATTTTGTATGTTGCTAATGCTTTGGTATAGGTGCGTCCTTAAACAGAGAATAGCCAAGTTCTTAACTTTGCAGGCTTCTAGATGGTTGGCCTAGCGGTGGAGTAATGACCTAATAATTCTCTTGAAAATTTCCAGAGCTAATTAACTTCAGAATTACTTTTTAAGGTACAGATTTGCTTTGTTCAGTACTTGCAGGGTTTTTTTATTATATGGTATGGAGCAATTATTTCAGGTAAAAAAGAATTTTATAGTCTCATTACTGGGTGGTGAAATGGTCAGACAAAGTAAACTCAGTTATAAACAAACAATTCTTACTAATTTCAATCTTACTGACATATAGGCTGTGAAGTTACCTTGGGATTTTTTTCTTTTAAAAGAAAACTTTAGAGCAATTACCGTAATTGTAACATGATAGTTCTAGTTCTAAAGATATCTCTGTCCCATTTTGATGAGAAAAAGGAATAGCCAAATGCTGTCACAGTTCTTGAGGTTGAAGAATAGACTGTTTTGCAGCACAGCTACATTTTGAACAGCTTTCTGTGGTCACAGTGGACTGAATGGAGGTACAGTGTGGACTGTGAGTATTTTTCCAGCAAATCCTGTGTTAACTTTTCTTTTGCTACACTAAACATTTAGTGAAATGGTTGACACTGGCATTATCACTGTTAGATTGCAGTATTGATTATTTTGTAAACATGAAATAATTAAACTTTTTTTCAAGTTATTGGTATGACTTCAACACTATAGGTTTTCAGTCAACCATAGAGGTTACAGTGAACTTTTTTGGCTCATAAATGGTTTAAAACATCGGGGTTTAGATCTCAAAAGTGCCAAAAAGTTGCCCAAACTGCTTTAAACTTACTTTTAACTTTACTCAGAAACTCTTAAAAATATGAGTATTGGAATCTGATGGGTGGAAAAAGAAATGGCTACTTGCAATTCCTGTCTTAGAACAATAATCAAAATGTTTGCTGTAGCTCAAAGTATGTAACATGGAGTGCATGTCTCGTTAGGATAGTCTTAATAAAATACACATAATCAATAAAGTTCCTTTTTGAACTGTTATTTAACTGTTTGTAGATGCTGCTCATGTATTACAGCACTGGCAGGCACTGAATTAGCTTGGGTTTTTTATATGAGGGGGAAAAAAGGACATGAGTTAAAATGGTGAGGAATTTAGTTTAATTATAGCATATGGATTTTTAGGCTCTTAAGGAGAATTACTAAAAGCCTGTGACTCCCCACTGATTTCCACAGTAGCCTACTAACAAGGCAGTAAAGGACCTGTGACCCTGAAATAAATATTAGGAAGTAAAGACCAGTGTCACACAAAGAACCATGAGCCACAGCTATGCTTTATTTTTTCTATTTAATATTATCACCAACAGTTTCAGTAATAACTTGTTCTATTGTCTGTAATCTTGTTGCCCAAATTGTCATAACAGTTCCACTTCAGGGTATGCATTCAATGTTACTTTTTTTGAAGTAATGGGTTGCAGTGTTTGTGTATCACTTCTGTTAAATTATTGTTTGTTATGTTCTGTAAGACTAAAATTTGAAGAATCGATAGATAACTCTGATTTAAAGAATTGTGATCTTAAGGTAAACTTGTTTACAGACACAGGGTACAAGTATTACAGACTTGATGCTTTGAGCATTGTAATGAGTGAAGAGAAGCATATGCTTTGGAGTAGGTCTGAAAAGGCAAATCTGCCGAGCAATCATCTGTCTAGTCAATCTGAGCACAGGGACTCAGAACTGATACATTACCGAAGGTTGCAGGTAGTTTTTTTTTCCTCACGCTTGTTCAAAACATGGCCCATTCAGATGTATTTTCTAAACAACTCAAGAGGAGGTGGGGCAGGCACTTGTCTAGCTTCTGTGTAGTTCAATTGTTAAATGACTTGAAATAAAATTTGGGATGTTCATGGTCCAAGCTCTTCTCTTTTCTTTCCTATGACCAAAAAAGGAAGGTCCTGTGCCAAAAGCATGACTGCAGGGTGATTTACATTCGCACCGTTCCATCCCGCTGAAGCTGCCTTCCTTTTACTGGGGGATGTTGCATGGTACACGTGTATGCAGGGATTACCCTACTCAGGTCAAATGTCTTGGCCATTTAGCAGTGAGATCCTGCTCCTCTCAGCCCACTGAGTCTTGAATTCTGACGGAGAATGAAGCCTCACGTGGAGGGTGTTGAAGTCCTTATCAGCTGTTGCTCATGTACTGGCTTATTATATCATTACCACCACTTTAGGAATATAAAATTGATAGGGTCTATGTATAGCTTTTTGAGAACAAGTTGTTATATTAAAGGCAGATACAGAGAAAAAAGGTAAAGGAAAAGAGAGAGAAGCCATGCTTATGTTGGTGTGGTATGTGTTAACGGAAGAATGCGTTAAACTATCTTGAAGCCCACAATAGCACCACTCTTAAAATTAGCAAGAGATGGTTGTTAAAACTTACAGGACGTCCCTGTAGTAGGAAGAAGAGGTAAGGTATTCTTTTGAGATGAGACGTGTTGGAAGCTTATGAAAAGTCTGATTTTTTTTCTTTTGTTACGGGAAAGTCACGGGACCAGCTGCAAAGTGGGTTCAGCAGACTTGAGAATGCAGTATTCCCAAACAAAATGGCATCATTCCACATGTATGACAATATTTTTGAAAGGTTTGTTTGACAGAATACCTTGTTTAGTCAAGGTTGCATCAAATGTCGATTGGTGCTTTGAACTCTTCTGCTGTCCCTCTGTTTTTTCATAAAGTCATGCTGACTGTATCATAAGATTTAATAAAAGCATCTCTTCTCTGAGTTGGAGAAACTGACTGGCAGAAAGGTTCAAACTGCAACTGGCACACGCTTATCTGAGAGGAGAGATACGAGTTTGAATTCTTCAGATTCAGAAGGCATGAAATCTTAGCCTCTCAGTTCCATAGTTTTCCTTGTCCAGTAATACAATATTGATAATGAAGAGGTAAATTTTAAACGGTACACTGCAATGGAAGGCGATATTTAGCAGTGGGTGAGAAACACTGTCTCCCTGCTTCCACAGAGGTCAGCTCCACAGAGTGTCTCCCAGTTCATGAAGAGTTCCTCTTTTCATATTTACCCTCCAAATTACCAGAGTGCCTGGCACTTTCCTTTTAAAGGATTGTCAGCGTTTGTCTTAACTATGGAGCTATTATGTAAATACCATGGTCTTTCTTCAGCACAGCCTTTCTTCAGCAAAGTTTTTACGAGAGTCACTCTAAGAGCTTTGTGCGTGTATCTCAATTTCTTATGATTATTAGGTGTACTCCAGAGCTTGCCTATTGGATGTGCACTCCCAATACCTAAGCAAAGGAACCCGTGGTTTCTAGATTTTTTGATAGGTTTAAGTGGTAGTGAGCCTATAGCTATCTAGTCTGAGACAGTCAGACTATGCACAGAAGCAGGACTGAAGGTGCTTGGGAAACTATGGAGGAGATGACTGGCTTTAAGAATATTCAGGTCTAAAGCTCTCAACTCAGCTGCTGCTTAGAAGTAGCGACCTTTGTACAGCCAGCTTTGAACACTCATTCTTGCCCTGAATTGAATGACTGCTAGGTAAGTAAAGTATGATAGGGTTATTGTTGTACTAGAGATCACATAATGCAATTTTTGTGCAGCTGTTTAATAGTTAGAACAACATTGTGGTAGTACTAATTCTTGATAATTATTTAGGGGCTTGTGTGCGAAATTAGCACTTTCAGACACACAAAGGTAAAAATCCTAAGTTCATCTTTCTTGTGAGTTTACCTTATTTTTGTGTGTTAATTGTTCTCTTTTTGGTAGTCTGTTTTTTTTAAATCCCCATTCCCTCCTTTTTCATCATGTTCATGTTGAGTTTTTCCATGTAGCAGACTACAAGGCCTAATTTTTGGTAGATAACTATCATTGTCAGATTGGATTCAACAGTTGTGGGCAAAAACAGTTCATTGATTTTTGGGGAATTTCAGTGAATTTAATTTATTGTCAGTTACCGAACCTCCAATTACTGATTCTGATGCTGAAAGTAAACAAACACTTAAGGAAAAAAACACCCCTTGCTGCTGCAAAACTCCTCTTTCCCCCTCTTTGTTCTCTGGTTCCCTCGTTGCAGGCCACAGGCAGTGCCAAAGACAGGGGTCCGTTTGCGGGGGCCTCTCCACCAGTAGTGCTCCGGTGAAGGTTGTCCCTGCTGGCTGCTGCTTGGCGGCTGCCCCAATCCCACCCGTGTGTGCAGCCCTTCAGGGTTCTGAGGTGCCTCCAGCCTGGCTGCCACAGTGAGTCTGTGGCTCTTCCCCACCTCCCCCGCTACAAAAACCTTGCCAGTGAGGCCCAGTGCAATCAGTCGATGCTAAGCTTGACCCACAAACGAAACGCAAAACTAGGAATGACAGCACGCCAAAGTCTATGTGAAATCTTGTAGCAATTTATGCTGAGAGCACTGTTTTACTATGTTTCAAATAACACCTCAGAAAAGGCTGGTTAACTGTGGTAAAAACTAGAAGCCACTTTTTGGTTTTCTCATATGTGAGACTGATCATATGAATTGTTGAATAAACAATTAGGAAGAATGTGTCTGTTTTTACATCATATAATAAATCAATTTTAAGCATATGTAAAGCATATGAGAACTTGTAAGGTTTTTTTCAGAACATGGTTCCTACAGACAAAAAAGTTAGTGTACGTCATGCAGCCCAGTGTGAGCAAAGTACATTAAGACCACTTAAGTAACTGCTATTGTAGTTTATTCTGGAATGAATGAAAGAGACCTCAATTTGAAATTTAAAGAAAATGATGGTTAAAGTAATTATTTTTACTAGTTAATATTTCAGTTAAGGGCATGAAAAGGAGAGAGCTATGATGAAGAATAAAGCTTCCATTTGGCAGCACATCACACAGGGGACTGTAGCAATCCTTGAGACAGTAGACCTCAAAGGAACAGAGTTCTGCATTCTGAGCAACTTAATCTTGGTTAACTTTGCTGTAAATAGTAACATAGGTTATTAGCTGTTTATACATTTGGATTATCCACTATCTGCCTCGACTATAGCATCTATATCCTCTAGGTAAATCTCTTATTTTGGCTCCATTGAACTGTTGCTGGTACTGGTCTTCTCAATTCAGTCCTTCAGCCTTCCGTGCAGCAGGAGCTGGCCGCCTCTGCACTTTCCTATTTTCCTGTAACACAAGAAAAAAGAGATAGCACATCCTTCATTCCTGTTGTATTGTTCCTAGTTCTTTTTCTTAATAGCTCACACCTAAAAGCTTCAAATTTCCTTTCCATCTCCCAAAAAGACTTACGTACTTACTTTTCTCAGAAATGAAAGAGAAAACATCTTGAAATAATTCAGGTTTTCTTAGCTCTGCTCTCCTTTTAAGAAAAAAAATAAAGTGCACTTAACCTAATCTTTTCTATGCAATGGATGAGCACTTAGACTTTCTGGTGGTCAACAACGACCATTTTCATCCTTAACATCCTCTGGTTTTCATGTTTCAGACTAAAAATAAAAATTATTTTAAAGAAATCTCATGTAAACAAATCATCAAGATAGTAACTGTATTACAGAAAGATGTGCACAACTTACTGTATGCTTACATCCATCATGGAGTTTCCTGAAGCAAGATATTTTATTACTTATGGTACAAAAAGGTACATTAGCTGTTAATAATGCCGTATGTCACATCAGTGAAACTTGGCTTTTTGGCAATTGTAGTGTATGTGTATTGAAACTGAAATTTTAGTGTGGTTTTAGTGGTTTTGTCTGCTTTTTTCTTTAACAGCCTAGTCACATGACATATGTTAATTTTGTTTCTTCAGCTGACATCTGAAATGTTTGAAGCTGATCTTGAAAAAGCATTGCTGCTAAGCAAACTGGAATACGAAGAGCACAAAAAGGTATTTGCAGGATTCATCCTAATGTAAAAGCTGCACAAGTTTGAGGCTTGAATTTTAAAAATAAAGCAAAAAACCTCCTAAAAGTACCATTTTCTTCATGTAAACTGTTTGCTTACACTGTTCAGATGCTTAAGAGTTCAGAGAAATACTGGATTTTAAAGAAACCACATATAATAGTATTGGGTTTGGGTTTTTTTAATTGCCCTGTAAAGGTGGAAAATTAGTTCTACTTTTTCAATTTTCTGGCATATAAATGTGCTGAAATTTTTTAAGAGTACAACAAGAGATCCTGACCTTCCTCAGAAAAAATCCAGCACACCTGAAGAGTAAGAGAATCAAAGCACTGACTTCTCTTTAGGCCTGAAAGTGTTAGTTGTGGTTGAATCATTTGCATTTTTGCTAACATCTTTTCTCTGTTTTGAGTGTAAATATTTTAGTTCTAATAAGCTGTACACATTTTCTTAGCTAGTCAGGATGCTGTTTTCTGAGTGGTTCTTATGGAAAACTGAAGAATTGTTCTGAAAAAGTATGCTTAGATGAAATTTTTATTTCTAACAGGAAGTTGCTTCTTACTTCCAATAAATCAGGAGCCAATGAAATGTTACAAAAATATGTAAATTTAAATATAATTATGCATCATAAAAAATAAAAATTGCGCATGCACTTTTGTGCAAATATCTCTGTACAATACTTTGAGGGGGGAGAGTACCATAGTTCTTGAAAACCAAGGATAGATTTTCAACTTACATACTAAAAGTTCTTTTTTAAAGTGAAGACAATCTTCAGGCATAGTAGCATAGCATCGTTTGTAGACTTTTTGAGAATTACCTCTGAATATTTTAAAATATTTACTATATACTCAAAATACACAGTACATGAGTACGCTGAACAAATCTTTTTTTTCTATGGAAAGAAAAGCACTCCATTTCCATCTTTGCTTTCTATATAACAATTTTTTCTTAAGATTATTTAACATTTAAGATTAAAAATAATCTTAATTAAAACATTTAATTAATTAGTATTTAAGTTCATTTTTAACAACTGGGACATTGATAATTTGCTAAGAATGTTAATGTAGATGTGTGGGGAGGTGGGATTCTGGTTCAAATGGCTATCGTGTACCAGGCTGTCCAATTTCAATAGGAGTAAGGTCAATTAGTAGAGCATTGCTGCACACTAATAGCTCTCTGACTTCTAATGAATGAGTAAGCATATTTTGAGAATAAAAAGAAGGTATGGTAGACCTCTGTTTTTTAAAGAAAGTGCTAACTTGCATTGTGTAGCACTTTGCCTTCCTGTGTTTGACTACTGTATATTCTCAGTTTATGAGTTTCTGGATAAAATTTGATGTAGGTGATTGAGGACGTATTAGGCTGATAGTTCATTTGCTGTTCAGTGAAGAGCAATGCTCTACTTCAGAGAACAGAATTGATGCTTGATTGCTGATATGTCTTGCACTCTTTAAAGCAATCTGAAGCCTGCAAATTACTGTTCAGGCTAAAATCTCCTTTAGTACATTATCACTATTTTTTTTCCTTTGTAAAGCTTCAGGAAAAAAATATTTGGGTATTGAAGAAAATTATACCAGTGGGACTTTATTCTTCTAGGAATATGAAAACGTTGAAAATACTTCACCTCAGTCAAAGTCTGTGAATAAGAAAGAGAAAAAGAACCAGCAAGGAAAAGACAAACCTCTCACTGTGTCTCTGAAAGACTTTCAGTCAGACAGTAATATAGGTATGCTTTATCATACCATATGAGCTGTTCTACTTGGAATTTTCATAGTGTGTGTGCTAGCAGCAAAATGCCCTTCTGTCTCTGTTAATTTATACTGCGTTTAAACAAACACTAAAGGAGTTGCAGTTAGTTTGTCCTACTGAGTCTAGAAGCTAAATGTTCATTATATAATAATGGGCTAGTTAGATTAGCAGGGAAAAAAGAAGAGGTTAAGGAAAATACAATTTCATGTAGTATCCCTGGGGTGGGTGGTGGACTCAAACACTCTTAATGTGACTTTTTTTTTTTTTTTAAAAAAATCTAAGTGAGTTTTTTGTTTTACTAAGTTTGTGCTCCTCAGGCAACTGAGTTCCTCTGTTTCCCGGGTAACAGCAAGTCATTGTTTGCCTTTCTTCATGATACTGGCTTTTATGAAGATGAGTAAATATTGAAATAACTTATATATACACTCATCATATGCATTATTTATATGTTCAAAATTCCTTCATCTGTGTCTACAGAGCAGAGATTCTGAATTTTAATGAAGAAATCAAGGTAAATGCTAGAAAAGGAAGAAAGTAATTTGTTTTCTAAGGTTTTTCTTCTAAGGATGTTTTTATCGAAAGCTACAATATTTATACACGTTATAGTAATGTGTATAAATACATTATTTCCAAATAATGTGAATAGAGGAAAAAGATTGAAAGCACAGCAATCTGGAAGGCATTCAGGTATACAGTGAGATACGTGCTGTAAAAGCCTAAATAGACTTAAAAAGAAACAAACCAACAAATTCCGTAAGTGTCCGTACCAAAGACATTGCCTTCCACTTTAACTGAAGCAAACGAATATGGGATGCTGCTTTTGATTAAATAGTCTGAAAGATCTGGGAGAAGATGCAAATACAGGGATTGATGTAATACATAGTTTATAATCTTGGCTTCTAATACTTCAGTAATGACTTCTTTTGTTGTGACTTTGAGAGGAGAGCTAATGTTGAAGAACTCCAACAGAGGGGGTTTTTCCCCTACTTTTCAAAATGTCTTGTTTCAATAGCCAGCTGTACAAGATTTGCGTAACTTACTGATGTCATTTTTTTTCTATTCTTTTCAGATAACCTTGCTAAAAAACATGAGGTAAGTCTTATTCAAACTAGTTTAATAAAAAAAAAACAAACCAAACTTATGTTTAGAAGGTAATTATTTTGGCACTTCCTGTAGTAACAATCAATAATACATTGTGAAACTGACTGATTGCCATTTGGAAAATTTTTACAGATGCAGATTAAATAACGTGTATGTCTGCAGTTCTTTTATCTTTAGAACTTAGCATTGGCTTTCTTAGAACTACCTCTTGCTTCTTTAGTTTTCAGATAGTCTTTGATGCAACTTGCAGATTTAAAAGCATGTTAAAAAATACCAATTGTAGTACAAAAAAGACAAGCAAATTAAGTAAGAAAGTACTGTGATGCTACTATGTTGTGGTGCAGTCCACAAGTATTAAAACTCTTAGAGGGAAGACTAGTTAACAGTGAAATAAAACACAAATTAGTGTAGTCATAGTGCAAAATTATTAAATTCCCACTTCCTGCTTTTGTGTCATCTCATCATCAGCTAAATGTTAACTGTTAATTTCCAGGCTCTTCAATTGGTATCATATTCTCTAGGTGGAAGTCATAGTATTCTCAGGATGTACAACATAAAACAATCTCTAGATGTAATGCTTTTCCATGACTTAAGCTATTTTTTTAAACATGTTGATTTCTAGCTCAATATTAACTTATATGTAAAGGAAGATATGTTATAGTACTTATTTTTGACAGGAACTGGACTCTTCCCAGTCTTCGTTGCACGATGGAGGCTTTTTCAACAGGCTGGAAGATGATGTTCATAGAATAATTGAAAGAGAGAAAAGGAGAGTCCAGCTCACTGATTACAGTGAAACAGATAACCGCACATCTCATGAACACAACCAGGCATGTAAAACAGCAGTCATTCTGAAGTGAGGAAGTTTGCCTAATGAAGCTTATTCAATAATCTGAAGGGAGCACCTGAGTAGAAGAAAGCACAAATCAAAAGCATGATAATCTTAAAGAATTAAAAAACCCAAAACAGTAATATTTTTACCTATCTGAAGAGGTATTTAAATGACTTAATTTTTTTAACACAAAGCACTTGTGATTGAAATAGTTTTTGCTCCACAGAAAACGCCAATGCTTACTACTGTGTTTCTTATCCTTTTGGTATCTATGCACATATACCTCTTTAATTTTGATCAAAAATTCTCTTCTCTAAAAAACAAGTAAGTTGCCTTTCCCAAGAATCGAATTCACGTGACTAAATTATTAAGAAGTGATGTTTTCTTGCTCATAGGAGACTGTTTTGAAAGACGGAAAAACAGAACGACTAAAGCTCGAGCTCGAAAAGAAAGATGCAGAAATTGAGCAACTGAAAAATATAATAACTCAGTGGGAGGTATGTAGCTGATAATACCTTCAAATAGTAGACAAAATTTAACATTGTTATGCGTTTGAAGCAAAGTATTTATTAAAATGTGAGCAATCTGTAGAGGTGCTTTAGACTGGCCACAGATTACATATTTACAGAGCAAATTATTCCTTCAGTACCACATGAAGCAGTCTTTCTTGGTAAGTTAAGCATCTAAAAATAATCAAAAGAATCAAGACAGAGCATCCAGAAGTAAACTTCATATCCGGCATATCAGTCACTACTTGTTTTCTAGTATTGCTGTTTTCATGGTCAAAAAAAAAAAGATGTAATCTAAGACTAGGCAGGATCTTGAACGATATGATCTGCCTTGGAAGTTAGCTCTGCTTTGAGCAGGAAGTTGGACCTCCTTGGGTCTCTTCCAACTATTTCTTTTTTTAAATTCTACTCAGCTTTTCTTGCATTTAAGAACTACATATTGTTGGGATTTTTTGTAGATTCAGTCCAATATTTGAAGTGGTTAAAGAAATCAATGAATATTTTGTCAGGTTTAAAAGAAGTTCCTTTAAAGCTGCAGTGTAACAAGAATGGAGTCCTGTATTTTGTTATATCTTTTCTTACTTAAATACAAGTGAAATGGGAAATCAGATTCACCACATGCTAAAACATACCAGGAAAAAAAGATTTGCTTGTTAGTAATTACATGGTATTGCTATATACTGGAGTAGCTAGAGAAAAGGTCTCTGTCTTCCTGTTTTCAGTCCATGTTAGCATTGTCTGGATAGTATCTAGAGCAAAAAGGGCAAAATTTCTATGAGGAACTGCCATTGTAGCAAAAAAAAGTAAAGCAGCATAAAATTATTTTATTATTTTTATTCATTGCTTAAGGTAGACTGAGCAGGTTAACAGATTAGGAGTTTTCTGATGCTTCAAAGAAGTACTTTTACTTGTACTTATAAAGCTGTTAACAGCTGTTTTCACTGTGTACTAAAGTTGGAATTCCCAGGTGACATTTTAAAGTATAAAACCATTCATATTTACCACTGTCGGTACTTGATCACATTTGACAGAATAAAGGCTATGCATAAGGATACTGGTGAGGTGATGGACGATGATACAGCTGTTTAATTTTAAGAACTTGTCCAAAGACCTTAATGAAGTTTTAGGTGGCCATGAAAGGTCTGGCTTAAACGTAAGTTAATTATCCTCAGGGACTGGTGTGATACTCAAAGTGGAAGATAGTAGCTTCTTTATTACAAAAAAGTATGTCTGAAATTAAACTTTTTATAAGAACCTACAAGAGCAAACTGTATGAAGAGACTTGTGACAGGAAAAACAAGTTTACAGCTAAGATACATAGCTAGAACTGACATTGGTGGCCAGTTAAAGAAAATACTGACTTATGAAGCAAGTGTGGTGATATCAGATAGATTGGAAAAAACAGCAAAAATAGGTTCTTGAGTAGTAAACTCTAAAGAGTTGAAAAGAAAAGAAATAACATAGTAACAGTAACTGCTGAATAAAATAATCTGTAGAGTGGTAGGGTCTTGTCCTACTTGCCAGGAAATATGGCAAACTATTTATATTATCTCAGTATCTAGAAAGTGCATTATAATTGTTGTAATTTTTCAGGGGAGAAACCACAAAGCCCTTGATGCAACAGACCTATATACTTCAGGCAGACCTGAATGGTGGTTCCTGCATTATCAATGTACTGACATAACTTTCTTATTTTAACTTGCTCTAAGCCTTGTGCTTGCCTTTTTTTCTTGACTCTCAGTTATTAATCCACTTCTCCTGTCGTGTATTCCCTACTTTGGCTATGGTTTAATTAAAATACAGATGATCTTAAAGGTCTTTTCCAACCTAAATGATTCTGTGATTAGATTCTCTGCAGAGAAGTCACAATTTTAAACTCTGTCTGACTGTCATGCTTATTTTATAGAATACTTTTTTTAGTAGGGTATACATGTAATAATTAAATCTTTTTAATACAGGCGAAGTATAAAGAAGTAAAAGCAAGAAATGCACAGCTTCTGAAGATGATGCAAGAAGGTGAAAGTAAGTAAGAGTTTTATCAGAAAACTTAGAAGTTCTTTTTAAAACATGGAAGGAACTTTCAAAGCAGCTTTTTAAAAAATAACTTGTCTCAGTGACAGCTATAAAGAACTAAGCAGCTATTAATTTGCAGCGACTCCAGTGAACTACAGAATTTGGTGGACCACACAGTACTGCATTTGTATTATTACATAATGGAATAATCACTTGCACGTTGAGATCATTCTTTGGAATATAAACTGTTCAGTTACGTTTTAAAGTACAATGATTAGAGTTAGACTTTCTTTTGCTAGTGACAGCTATCTGTTCTTGACTATCTCATCATAATATCTGTTTAGACACACTTGAGGAAACTGTTCAGTTCTTGCATCTTTGCAAGCTGTGCTTTGAACTGTTGGAAACGTCATTCTACACTTAAGCAAGTCTTTTGCCAGACAATGAATAGGGACAGCTAAACCACAGGATTATATATGCAACTGTGTGGTAATTTTCTTCTGTTGTAACACTATTCAGTGTTTTTATGATTCAGAGTTTGTTGTCAAAGTTTTGGGGAAAAAAATTGTATGTATACACTCATACATACGTAAATATCCTAGTATCTTTATACTTGTTATGCATCGTTACCCTTTAATATTCCTAATCTTGCTTGATGAAGTTGTTTGAGTCTGTGATGCTAGCCACACTAATTTTGTTATGAAATTGCCTTTGCTTTTCAGTTTCTTAATTTAGTTCTTGAATGTAGTTTCTTCTCTGGGCTAAATTTTCAGCTAAAAAAGAGCTCAATTTTTTTCTTTAAAGTATGTGTACAAAATTATGTCTAAGCTAGTTCAAATGTTCATAATGTGATTGATCATTGCAAATTTTAACTTGGAACTTTATTACTTCAGGTCAGTGTCTGAGCCAAGATGAAATATTTTCATCTTGAGAGGAAAGAGGTGACGTTCTGAAGGTTTTTTCTTTGTTTGTGGTATAGTAACATACTATAAAACAAGCAATTTTGTGTTTTTCTACAGACTGAGTATTCTGTATTTTGGGGAGAAGAAAGTTCATGGCAGAATTGAGCCTTGAAAAAACTTCATTTCTTCATACTGAGAATTTTAAGTAATCCACAGATACTTCACAGACACTAGCTAAATAGTTTAAACATCCCTGTATTTGAGTCAATAGAAGTTTCCATAGCTATGACTGAGCTTGTACATGAAACTTACGATCCCAAAATCTTGATCCATTGCCAATATTCAGTTTTCTGATGGACTTTGTTCACAATGGGTATCTCTAAAAGCCATGCTGCTTACAGGGTTAAGTGTGGGGTAAGTAGTGCAAGGTTGGGGTTTAATCTCCAGAACTTTTCAAGCTGCTACTAATGGCAGTGGTAGCTAATGGCTGGTTTTGATTTACGACATGTACTGTTCTTTTAGTGAAGGTGGCATTATGTAGTGGTAACAAGAGAGTGAAATAAAGCAATGTCACAGTGCTATTGCAGATGAAGACCTGTAAATCTAGAAAGATTCTCATGCTGTATCTTTCTCTGTAGTGAAAGACAAAGCAGAAATACTCCTACAGGTTGATGAATCTCAAATTATCAAAAATGAATTGACCGTACAGGTAAGCAAGATTTTCTAGATGTAAAATTTCATGGGTATTTCAAAGATGCTACTTATTTAAGGCAGTGATAGAGGTGGGGGAGGGAGGAAGCTGAAACAAAAACTTGTTTGAAGCACAAAATGTTGAATTTCATCCTTAGCCCTGCACTATGTGTGTCAGAGGATGTTTTACATAAATCTCCAGTATGACTCACATAGAGCTGTTTCTGGAAAGACAGCAGACCTCAGCATGCCTGAAATGACTTTGCCCTGAACAGCACCTTAGGAATATCATTCTCTGGTAACCCAAGCCAGGAAGCTCAGAAAGGTGCTTCAGAATATGCTTCTTTCTTGGGTGGTGGTTTGAGTTTTTTGGTTTTGTGTTTCAGTGGTTTTTTGGTTTGGTTGTTTTTTGGGTTGTTTTTTTTTTTTTTGATTTCTAGTCTCAAGTTTACGAACACAAGTGAGCTACAAATTACTTAAGACGTGTCAGTTGGTGAGTCACTGTAGTGGAGAGCATGCAAGACTTCTATGCTTAGTTTTTGGTCCGCAGCAACTATTAGTTCTAAGCCCTTGACTTGTCCAAACGTCTTGCATACAACACAGTACTATTTTTTGAGGGTGATGTAATAAGCTTACCTGTGTTGCATAATACTACGTCAGTTAAGTGTTTTAGGCAATAAACTAATGCAGAGTCCAAAAGTCGGAAGCTTCTTACTTTATAGCTCTTCTGTATCATTATACAGGTAAACCAGTGAATGTTGCTTGGGAAATAAGTTGTTAAA